CAGACATGCTTGCTCCCTTCCTGGAAATCCTGAGGAAGGTTTCCCAACCTGGAGAATAATTGCATGGTTTTTTGCTTCTGAAACCAATACCAACTATTTTAAATGAGCTTCCATCTCTGCTCCCCAGCACTAGCTCAGATTTGCTCAGGCTGCAGCAGGAGCCAGAATATTCATTATTAGGACAGACCATGCATGAGCTACTGTTAAACCAGCCACTCTATCACTGCCCACTGTTTTAGAGCTTCAAGGAAATTCTCATTAAGCCCCAGCAATAGTTTCTGAGGATAACTTTTTTCCTTTCTGTAAGCACCCTGCTCACTTTTTGAAGCTTTCTGCTGGGCTTCCATTTCTTTTAGCTCAGCCTTTGCTAAACTCTGGACCTCCTGTCCCCACTCACCAGGCTCCCTGCACAGGGATACATTGTCGTTTTAATGTCATTTTCAGCACCTCGTAGCTCTTTCCAAGTGACGCACAGATGTGCTGATGTGCCTGCCCATGGAACTCCTGACCTGAGTTATGAGCATCAAACCAGAACAGACAGCACAGTAACACTTCAAAGGGCTGAGAGTTTCCCCTGAAGCACCCAACATATCTGCTGCAAACCCACTACTCACATTTATCAATTCTCAAAAGTAGGGCATACGCTGACGTGCAGGGACCATCAAGAAGCCTCACACCCACTTTAAAAGAAATTGGATTGACCTTTAACGTACAGGCAAAGCAATTTAATTGCAACTTTCTTAAGTTATAGTCTGGTTCTCTATCTATTCAAGTAACTGCAGCTATTAATTCACCAGGGCAGAGTATAAGGGGGTGTATCTGATTTCATAGCTCTCAGGCACTACTTCTTGATGCACAGGCAGTGATGTCTGAAGGTGGTTCAGCTGCTGCCACAGCTCAGGGGTGTCTGTGCTGCCTGTTTTAGAGAAATACATCAGCTTTGCTCACGTAAGCCTGGGGCCTCAGCTGGTGTGCTCAGGCCATCGCATACCCACTTTGGTTGAGGCTTTTTTCCTCCTCTATCTCCCTTTATTCCAACTTTTCTCAAGGATCATCCTCCTAGTCCCACGACTCTCCTTGTCAGCTCTCCAAGCTCTAAATACTATGGTGGTTTCATAAAAAAAACAAGAGAAAACATAGTCAGTCACTCAGCTGTGATTCTCAGATCATCCTGGGGATTCAGGAATTAACTCCAGTGGGAGCTTTGTGACTAAACCTCCCAGGTGGCCCTGGGTGTACTCAGCTGTGCTCTCCTACCCTGGATGTTACTGAGCAATCCCATACGCATTGCTGAAAAAGCATATTTTACTTTCCTAGCAATGTGATGATTCTGTTATTTCTGCACAGTATGTGTCAGCAATATCAACCAGGAATTTGCTGTGTCCACAGTGACCTCTACTTAAACCTGGTCTTATTGTTTGTTGCATTATTCTCTCATCCATGTCCTTCTCCTGCCACACCACACGGACACTGTATTTGACAGCATTCCCGTCCTAACACTAGGAGGATGGATGTGTCAGGGATCAATTATGGTCAAATAAGGCAAATTAATTACTTCCGTAGGCTGAATCACCATCTAGAGGTGCTTCTCTGTAGTAGAAAACAACAAGTAACTTAGCTATTAAATGACAGATCTCAGCACAGGGAGTCTCCTCCTGGATCCATGGCCATCTTCACCATGGATCCTGTCTAATAGCAGAAGCTGATACACAGCAGAGGCACATCGTCTCTTATAATGTCCCAGGCAGAAGCAAACAGGCAAACCCACAAGGCCATGGGTTGCATAAAGAGAGTTCATATTCCATCAGCTCATATAGAAATGCCTATAAAATAGATGGGATTAATTGCTTCATCGGCTCCAGCGTTTGGCATCTTTGTGATCAAGCTTCAGCTGAGTTGTAGCTGGAAAGGGCACAGTGAAGACTGTCATGGCAAAAAGGACAGCTTACATGCAAGAATGAATGCACAGCAACATTTCCAGTACATTAGCCTTCTTTCTGCTCACGTAAGTTGTCATGGAATGTGACTCCAGCCCATCGGGAAAACACCTTTTCACTACCCAGTGATGGTCTCCAACCCCAGCCTTTACTGGCTGCCCGTGGCAGGGACTGAATGCTGAACAGAGCCCAGGAGAAACGTGATCAAGACCTTTCTGTTAGTTTTCCACGTCAAAATTAACACTGTGGGAAGCATGTGAAAATGTCATTGTAAGAGCAAGAAGTGACCTGGGCCTCCAACTACACTGGAGATGAACCCCCCAGTCCTGCTAACTCGGCACACTGGACCACACATGCAACACATGGAATGAGTGATACAGAGGCATCATAAACTTTAGAAAACTGAGAGGATCATTTTTAGGAGAAACAGAAACTCCATTTCCAGAAAAGAAAACATAGAGCTATAAAAGCACATTTTCTGTGGGTGTTTTCCGTATTGAAACCTGCAGAAATCATGAGGTTGTGTTTTTTTTATTTTTATTTCTTGCACAGCAGATTGAGGTTTAGATTTTTGACCAAACCAGAAGTGAAGGACACTGGAGCTCAGTGCACTGCCAGTGTAACCCTGTGCTAAATTCCTGCAGCAGCATCACTGCTGTGAGCCCTGAGCCAGAAATACCCTGGGCTGACTTTCCAAACTCTATGGGCCAGCAACCACAGACCTGGGCCAGACCTGTGCTTTTACTTTCCCTGGAAGTTATGAAGACAAAAATTAAAGTAAAAGCCCACAGCATCACTTGTCAGCATCACACAAGCTCCTGTCCAACTGCAGAAGTCTATCTGACAGTGAAAGTCTGGGCACAGCCCTGGAGCTGTGTGGAATATCCACAGTCCCATCCACCAACGATGTGCCAGCAACATTTCAAGGTTGTTGAGTTTTTTAGTTTTGCAAAAGTTTTCTGCATGTGCCTTGAATATTAATATCAAGGTCTCGGGATCCCTTGACTGACCAGGGGAGCCTCGCAATCAAAAGCAAAAATGCTTCAAGGAGAATTACAGAAGAGGGAGGATATTCAAACTTTCTGGCCTTATAGGATGAAAATAATCATTTCCTACTGCTGGCAAGGAAATGAAAACCTTCCCTTGCTTACCCACAAAGCCATTCCCTGGCAGCAGCAGTTTGAGAACTGCAAGCTTTTCTTTTTTCAAGGATAAGAGAAAATACTTAAAAAGTAAAGAGAGTAATACCTGATAAAGGTTTGCCTGAGAAGGGCACATTGTGCTGGCAGAACATGTGCCATCAGAAGTACCCCACCAGCTTAATTTCAGTGTTCAACCCAGTGACAAAAAGCAGCTCTTTCTCCCCATTTAGCCATGTCACACAGCATCAGGCTGTTCAGAGACCAAGCTTTACACCCACTGCCCTGTGGCCTGAGCTCTGCTGAAGGTTATTAGATAGGAAATATCTCCAGAGTCCTCCTCTCATGCCCAGCCTCAGACCAGGCTGATTTTGATCTGAAAAAATCCAGAAAACAGTTATCTTCTCTGAGCTTACCTGAAGAAAGAGGAAAGGGTTGTTGGGTTGCCTTTTCTAAAATCAATAGAAAAAAAAGGAGCTTTGGTTTTCCTCGAAGTGCACCACTCGCAAGGCATCACTCACCACCTGCCCCAGGTGCCTCCTGGCATGGGAGAGAGTACAAGAGGGGCTCAGGAAGGCACAAAAAATAGGGATTTTGTGTGGGGATAAAGGACTCTGGCAGCCATCTGCCGATGCCTTTCAGTGCCTCTTCTCAGGAGCCTAAAAATTAAGCACACATGATGCAAAATACAACTCCTCTTCCATTTCCATCCCCGTACCCCTGTGCCCCAATCCAGCTGCTTCTACTTCATCCCACAGCTGGAGCATCTTGTAAAGTTTTATACTAAGTTGGGGAAGACTTTCAAAAAATCTGAACACAGGGAAAATGTCATACAGAATAAACTCCATGAAATATAAGAAGATAAATGTGAGCTTTCTGTCTGAGATGTCTGTGAAATCTGAGCTACTGATGCCTGTGGGTGTCTCTGAGTGAAATATTCACCTCTCACTAATGAAAATATTTTGATTAACAATTTTATTTGCCTTGTGGCAAGTACCACTTTTTTTTTTTCTGTTAAATCACAGGCAAGTGTCATAAAAGATTTCATTTGCACATTAACAGGATATTTATAAAGTACTCAGTACTAGATTTCCCTCAGCAGGCAATTACAGATATGTTCTACTTTTTGAACAGTTTTGGTTTGGTTTTTTAATTAGTCTCAAGGTGACTTCCAGCACACAAATACATCCCACTGGATTCCCCATAAAACTGCTTGTAATGGTTAGTTTCTCGTGCTTATTGCAGCACTTTGCAGTGTGGGCATTACACAGCAACCAGGAAAATGTACTGAGAACTAGGAAACAAGGGTGAGGCATAAGACAGCAGTATTTATATACAGTAGGATTTAGTTACAAGTATGCAGGAACCCCAAGTCCAGAGAAGGAGCCTGTTGTAAATCAGTTTAATTCAACTGCTGACTTTTCCAATGTATTCAGGGAAGAAAGTTCTCTCAAACCCTTGTTCTTCATGTTCTTGCCTGTCTCCTGTCCTGCCCTGGTGGCCTCTGGGCACAGAGCGTGTCATCCTTGGCTGGGTGCATCGCTGCTGGTAGGACTCATACAAGCAGTCCTTCTGGTAGCACTGGATCAACTGTCCTTCATGGCCACTTAGACCAGGGCAGGTTCCCCACTCCATCCCTCCTGCCCAAGATACTCAAATTAAATGCTGTGGTTTAGAGGAAGCTGGAGAAGGCTATTCTAGATAAATAGCACTATGACTAATCCTATCCCAAGCATCATGTACACACTTTGGCTACAAAACACAAACCTTGCCCACATGGGCCAACTCTTCTCCAGCCAACAACATTTCAGATGACACTGCCAACCCTGACCCTAGTGCAGCCACTCCAGGAGCTCCTCTGTGTCATCATCTGCTCCCAGTGTGGACACTGCTAATAGTGTGTTTGTGCCTCTCTCCCCACTAGGTGAGTGGCATCAGTAAAGGGACAGGTCGGACCCGGGAGCAGCGTGTCCTGGTCATGGTGGTGGTGATGGTAATCTGCTTTCTCCTTTGCTGGCTGCCCTATGCGACTGTGGCACTTATAGCCACGTTTGGGAAACCTGGTCTCATCACCCCTGCAGCCAGCATCATCCCATCCATCCTCGCCAAAAGCAGCACGGTCTACAACCCCATCATCTACATATTTCTGAACAAACAGGTAAGGAAAATGTTATCCTTACGTTTACTCGGATCCAATGTATGCAAGTAGTGAAGAAATAATGAGGGGAAATAAAGAGCATATTGGTCACATCACTGAACAAGCACGCGAGAGGGAAGCACAGAAAAAGAGCTACAGGGACCAAATTTAATTGACAAGCCTGGATTTCTGGAAGTTAAATAACCAACTTCCCGCATGTCCAAATAGCAGCTCATGGGCCCTTCCTTTCCACTACACAATGTGATGAACAGCAAGTTAAAAGCAGAGGAGATATCCATGTTCTGGCAAGCATGAGGGCATCAGATACAGTCTGAAGTTGATTTGGAGACATGAAGTCTCATAAGGAGGTGAGCCTTTCCTACCCTACACCATGCCCCAGCACAGCATGTTGCCCACAGTAACCCCTCTTATTTGCACCATCAACTTTCTCTTCCCCAATTTACACTTCTAACCCCCTGGCTACCCTACTAGGTATTACTTGAGCCCTTCCCAGCATATAGGCAGGTGGAGGACCACGTGCTGGTCCCAGCTGTAGTCCCACACCCAGCAAGGGGAAAACTCATAATCCACCAGGGGAAAGGGTTCAAAATCATGAAACCTTCCTCTTTGCCCTCCCAGTAGGCTACATTTTCTTCTGCAAGCTAAGAAATCATGATGCTGTTCGAGAGAAAAATCACAGAATGGTGTGGGACCTTATAGATCACCTAGTTCCAACCCCCCTGCCATGGGCAGGGACACCTTCTGCTAGACCAGGTTGCTCAAAGCCCCATCCAGCCTGGCCTTGAACACTTCCACATCAAGGTGATGCACAGCACACAATGGGCAGGAGCTGGGGAAGCCCCTTGCACAGGGACAGAGAATAAAAGCTCAGAAGAAGAAGGGGGGTGAACAGAGATCCACAGAGAACAAGCAGAGAGCATCAGAGCTAGTTCAGTTCCTCCACCATCTTCAGCTCTATCAGCTCACTTAAGTCAGGCACACTTCATTGATCTTTGCATTTCTGATGTTACAGTAGGTGGATAGTTTGTTCCTCTGAATCCAGCAAATCTTCCATTTTAATTAATTTTTGGAAGCTGTTAGGAAGCATAGACAGTAAATCACTCACTCTCTCAAAAACAAATAATGATGGTAAAGGATTGATTTGAAGCCTGGCAGTAACTGTAAGCATTTTTACTGGGGCGTGAGAAATTCCCAGGGAGTAAAAAGTTTCCATGACACCGTCCATCAGCTCTACTCACTGTCACTAACAGCTCGGGGAGGACTTTGCTTTCTCTGCTCGTGCCCAGCCTCCTGCAGAACTCCCTGACTTCCTCCCTGTGACATGAACCATTCTTTGCCTTCTCCCTTATTATTTATTTTTTAAAATAAATTCTCTCATGAAGCTGCCTGAAGCACTGAAGAGAGAAAAGCACCCAAGCAGACCAG